TTCCCGGTCTCCTCCCTCGAAAACTACCCGTTGGTTCTTCGAGATCTTGTTAGTCCACACACTACTCGACTAGGGCTACAAAAGGCGAAAGGTATTGACTTTGGCCAGATGGTGTTTCTTGTGACGATTTTCCAGAGATCCCGTCAAAATCCTATCATCTGACTAGGGTCCGGAACGGAAAAAAGTACTAAATTACTCATAAAATGACATGCTGCATCCGAATTTCGACTTAGTTCGGAGTCAATATGTATTAGTAACTGTGGATTTTGACGGGATTTCAGCAAGCAGCCGAATCGAACCGAACCGAATGTCGAATCATTCGATTCGTTTCGGCCTCTGGTAAGGAGATTACAAACTAGAGTTTACGATAGCACTCTTTTCTGATACCCGTTTATTAAACTTGAGATCGGTCTTACAACGGATAGTAGCGCCATCTTCAAACTGTAAGTTTTAGAGTTAGGTGTTAGGGAACTATGTATATTTGAGAGCGAGATTTGATATGGTATAAACTTGCTCATGACTACGCTACGATTTATCCTACGTTCCTTTTCTCTTGATTGGCTTGTCAAACGAATACCATTTTTCCATTACTTGCGCTGACAAATAAACACAGTTACCTAAATTTTTTCGAGTTATTTTTATTTCTTACTGACCATCAATTTTATGTGCTTTCTTCATCTTCAAATGGGAAGCGGACACTGGATCCCAAACAGTGTTTTTAATGACTAATGGGTCTCGCTTGACCAAAATGGGTTTCCACTTTGAAAATTCGATTTCCACTTTGTTTTTAGCAGGGAAAACATGGAAAATGCAGTGGTAAACTGGGGAAAACCACTTTGCTTAAAATTCCTATTAAAAACACTGATCTCAAAGAGCACATGTGCGGTTATTTTTATCCTCATCAGAAACACTCTTGTGGCACGTCAGAAAGCAAAAGCTAGATAATGACGTTTATTATTGAGGGAGTCATCAAAGATCTTGACTCAAAGGATCAATGACTCAAGCCAAACAATAGAAATAGAAGCGATGAACATTAAGCTAGAGTAAATAAGATGGATCAAATAAGAATAAGGAATAAAACGAGGTAGAAACTAAAACGGAATAGAGTGGTTCAAGAATACGACAGAAGATTATTCTAAAAATATTTTGATAATACTGCTTTGAATGATTATACAAAAAGAAAAACGGAACGTTACTGCAGACACTGATACTTGAATAAGGAAACCAATAGTATCTCTTTGAGGAGAAAACCCATCGACAAGGGCAGTGGCGGATCCAGAATTATTTTTTGGTACGTGCGGTATACGATAAAAGTGCGAGATACGTGTGGTCGTCATAGAAACAAATTATTTTAAGAGATATCTGCTGGGAAAAAACAGTTTTTTTGTTAAAGATACGAGCGGCCGCTCGTACCGCTCGTGGGCTGGATCCGCCACTGGCAAGAGGTTGAATATGACGAACATATTTGGAGCTATAACACCGCGAAGAAGTGAAAGGTGACAAATAGGAAAAAATAAGAAGAGGAATGGGACGATGATAAGTTTCAAAACACTATACAATCTTCAAAGTATTTTCAATGAAAAGAAAGAGCCGGAGGAAAACTTTTGTCATTAGTAAAGAGATAGAAGTAAGATAGTCAAATAATAAATTCAGAGAAAAGTATCTATCTTGTGATTCACAATTACAAGTTAAATCTAATCTGCGTGAGCTCTGTGAATTGAGTAGAGTTGGCTCGTCTTCAACGTTCAGTGGGACATTTAGACACTCGTTATTGAGTATAAGAGTTGTAAACCAAATGAGATAAGTCAATACGGTAAAATCATAGTAGATTAGAAAAAAGCAAACTATAGTTTTTTACTAAAGTAAGTTAGAGCAGAAATCGTATTGTATTGATAGAAAGCTAACTTTGTTTCCGTTGGTGACACGAATAATTATAAAGACTTGCCCTTATTTAGCTGATGATGGTAGGGGTGAGGATAGCACTATGAGTTTCATGTCGTTCCTCTATTTTATCGATTATCTTCTACAAAACACCGGAGGCAACCATAACAACAGCCGCTTAAAATACTCCTCTTTTTTGTCGTTTCAGATGCTAAACATTCGATCTTTATACATTCTTTCTTTGTTTCACGTACATTCCACAATTAGTGCAACGAATGTTGATCATTTCTTCCCTCTATCCAACGATGAAGTTCCTTCTCCACTTATTGATGATCCGTTTGAATACGACGGACAATTTTCGGTGACAAATCATTCTGTTAAACGTCGACAAATATCTTTAAACATTCTCACAAGTCAACAAGCCCGCCTCCCGATAGTTCCGTCTTACATCATATTTGGTCCACGAACTATTCGTCCAGCTGAAAAAGTGGAACTGAGTGTTACTATTTTACGTGATGACTGGAATCCAATGATTGTAAAGGCCTTAATATCAAACGACGATATGGACGTGGCATCAATAGAAGAAACATTTTACACGAGAGTTCCAAATTCTCTCGTCATGATGATTCCACCAAATGCTCGTAACGGAACGTATCGGCTCACATTAGAAGGAAAACTATTGAGCGGAGAACAAAAATTTTATAATCAATCAGAATTATTATTTGATCAAAAAGCTGTATCAATTTTAATACAATTAGATCGGCCCGTGTATCGTCATGAAACTATTGTACAATTTCGTTGTATTCCTGTATATCCGGATTTGTCAGGCTATTACGGTACAATAGATGTTTACATGATTGGACCCTCTGGACATATTCTTCGAAAATGGGAAAATACACAAACAACAGCTGGTATGGTTAGCTTAGAATATCCGTTAAACGATGCACCACCGGAAGGTATTTGGACGGTTAAGTGTCGTGTCATGGGTTATGAGGCAACGAAAACATTTGAAATATACGAATTTTATGCTAGAAAGTTCGAAGTCAATGTTACTCTTCCATTTTATTTACCAACGGATGCCCAAGGTGTGTCAGGTATTGTTGTTGCCAATTATTCAACGGGTATGGGTGTTCAAGGTTATGCAAGAGTTTATGTTCGTGCCCGTAATATGTCAAAAGTATACGATCCAAGAAATTATTCGTTGCCTGATGTTGAATTCGATCGAACAACACCAACATTCGTTACTTTTATTGATGATTTTAACGGCGTTGCTTCATTCTACGTACCAATGTCAACGATACTTTCACTTGTACCAAACCTGGATGGAAGTGAGATTTTGATTACAGCAACGGTACATGATCCATGGTGGAATGAGACAAATAACGGTAAGCCTGAAATGGTATTTAACTCTGACTGAGATTTTTTGTTGATATAGTTATTATTTTTCTTATTTATAGGTACAACTGTTGTATCGTTTTATCAACCAGGTACCTACTTGAGTTTCTTGGGAGGGCCCAGTATGGTTTTTAAACCGAGAATGTTATATACAACATACATCGCAGCTATTAATTCTGATGGCTCAAAATATCAGCCTGGACAAGGACGCTTTATTCGTGTATATACAAATACAGATTTGGGTCAATCACAACCATATCAAGATTATGTTATCGATAATACAGCTATTGCACAGCATCAATTTTTGGCTCCCATTGATCCGTCTGTGACAATTTTAATTATACGAGCTGAATTATATGATAACAATATCAAAATACAAAATAGCGATGTTGAACAACGTGCAATTCGTTATTTATCACCGAGTAACAGTTATATACAAGTAACATCGAATACACTAAACCCGAAAGTGGGTGATTTTATGATATTCCGTGTAAATGTTACACAATTCACTGAATCTGTCTATTTTCATATAACATCAGCGGGACGTTTGATATATACTGATATTTTAAATATGGATCAATCGAAACAGAAAAGTTTCGATGTTGGTATCACTCGAGAAATGGCTCCTAGTGCTCATATTATCGTTTATTATATACGTTATGATGGAGAAATAGTAGCTGATAGTATGAATTTTCATGTGAATACATCATCTGTTACAAATCATGTCAATATAACGATTAATAGACGAAAAGATTTTACTGGCAATACCATTGAAGTACTAGCTTATGCATCACCGCAGTCATTGGTGGCATTTTCTGCGTTAGGTTTACCTCAATATTATCTGTTTCCACCGGGAAATCATTTTAATCCAATTGCTGTAAGTTTTCATTTCTCTTTCTAAGCACATAAATGGTCGCGAATGTTTGTTTCTTTTTGTCAGATATACGATGAACTATATTCATTTGACCGATATGCAACTCAGAGTTTTCAACAAACATGGAGTCAACAAATGGGCGTACCTTATTCACGCGTCTTTTTTCCATCTCAATCTTATGGTTATGATGCTGGATCCACATTTAATTCTACTGGATTACAAATATTTACCAATGTAGAAACAAAAGCGATTCAAACTGCTTGTGCACAGTTTCGTCTATTCCAGTGTAATGATGGTACTTGTTATTCTCCACCGCTTCGTTGTAATGGAGTCATTGATTGTCGAGACGGTGCTGATGAAGCTAACTGTAAGTATCAATGACGTTTTTTCCAAAACATTCATGCCTTTCAAAAAAAAATTAATAATTAATTTTGATCATGAGAAATTATTCTTTTTTCTGACGAGAAGCGTTTGAACTCAAACTCTTTGCATTTATTCATCTTCTTTTCAGGTAATTATACAAGAGTCAGACAATATAATTTTACTCCGTTGTGGCTACGTCTATGGCCATATTGGGAGCGCGAATTACAACTTCAATTCATGTGGCATCAACAATTTGCTTATCCTGATGGTCGTGTTCAATTTCGCACAACAGTCCCAAATGTCATTGCTAGTTGGGTCATTACAGCCGTGGCTGTTAGTCGTTTGACGGGTTTTGGTGTTATTGACATTCCATATATCTATGAAGGTACACGACAATTTTTTATTAAAGTCGAAGTACCACCCATTGTTCGCCTTGGTGAGCAAATTGGCGCACGTGTTGACGTATTTAATTTTCAATCACACCGTATTGAAGCATTGATTATTTTACATGCGTCCGATAAATATCGTTTTGTTAATTTGGATCAAAATGGTTTAGTGTCATCGTATTCACCAAGATTAACCGATGGTCAACATCATGTTCTTATTATACTGTATCCAAATGAAGTTCGACGTATATCAATACCATTTGTTCCCATTGTTCCTGGTGAAGTGGAAGTAATGATCGAAGGTATAGCAGGTGTATCGAGAGATTTTTATCGTGAAACAATCAAAGTGAATTACGAGGGTATCAGAAATTATTATCATACACCAACGGTATTGCTACTCAATAATTTACCAAGACAAATGAATGAATATGAAGTGAATGTGACACAGAATTTTATATTTCCATTAAAAAATTTTTTTATGTATATTCCTGGTTCAGCTACATGCGAAGTTTTTGTTTCTGGAGATGTTGCTGGACCCTATTTTCTACTTGGATACGATGAATGGTTAAATACTGATAATTTAATACAGCGAACAACAGCACCAGCTGATTCTGGTATATTTGACTTTTCAATGATGGTCTATAATTTAAGATATATGTTACAAGGTAAAGATTATTGTTTTATGGAATATTTATAAGATATAACAGTTTCGTTTTTTCCTAGGTCATGGTGGACGAGCATTTGATAATGAAAAATTAATGAAAGTATTGACATTTACAAATATGGAATATTTACGTTTTATAGCCATGTATATAGGTGATACCCCTGAGGCAACATGGAGAAAAGGATCATTTACTGAATTTGGATTTTCAAATGAATCTTCTATATGGTTGACATCATGGGCTCTTATGGCATTGCGAGATGCTGTTTATCCAGAATGGGAAGAAAAAGCACTTTATATTGATCCGAAATTACGCTCAGATATTGTAGACTTTCTTTGTCGTACTCAAACGATCAATGGTTCATGGGCTGAATTAATAACACCAAATGATCGTAATAAATTTGGTTTACGTATTACAAATGTTAGCAACGTCTTTCAGCAATTAAATTTATCTTTAACGGCACAAGTCATTATCGCATTAAAGTAAATATTTTTAAACTAATAGCCATAAGCATTTAAAATAATCTAATGATATCTGTTTAGATTAAACACAGATATACGTGGACCAGCTGCTAGACTAATAAACGGTGCTATTGATCGTGGAAGATTATGGTTAGAAAAATATTTTCGAAGTATTACAGATGCATTTGATATGTCTATTGTAACATATGCATTACACGTAACAAATAGTGCCGATCAAAATGCTGCATTTCTCCAACTAGATAGATTTCGACAAACAAGTGAGTTTATTTGAAACCTATAACGGGTGCGCCAGAAATATCCCTCTCCATATTTTCTCAATATCTCGGTCAAGGTTGATCATCAAGTCTCTTTTTTTAAAAAGATTTCTCATTGAATATTTTTTTATATACTATAAGAATAAAAAGATATAGAGAAAATATGGGAAAGCTTCGATATCGATTACTCTCAAATCCAAAGAGCAATCCAAAAATATTCATTTTGAACATGATGCTATGCATCAAAGTGGAATTGAAATGTACTTTCTAGTGGTCCGGAATGTCATCTTTCTTTTCTTGTATCACAAGTTCGCTAAAAACCTTTTTTCTGCAATGGACGAATGTTTTACTAAAAGTAAAAAACCAGAGAAAATTTGATTTCTTTGCCTTAGCACAGGAAACGAAATGAGGCTATCCGACTTGCTCCGATCGGATGTGACAGAAGAATTATTTTGCTTTAAGATAAACCAGATTCGACGTCATAATATGTGGTTTTGACCGAATCATATAAAGTTCCTTGAGTGCCTCAAAACTGTAGTTAGAAAATGATGATTTTGGGCACAATCGCTAAAAGAAAAATCTTCTGCGACTGCTGGAGCCGATGAAGAGTCTTAAATATAGCAAGTTGATAGAGCTTTTCGAGAACTACAACATGGCCATTTTCTCTTTTTTTATATCGGAAAATCTAAGGGACTGGAATTCCAAAACCTGTTTTTTGAGTTTGAAAGTAACCGGTTTGAAGCTTTCCCCTATTTCCTCTATATTCTTTTATTCTTATAATATATAAAGAAATGTCCAATATTTTTATGTAGAGAAGGGAATGAAGAATCTTTTTAAAAAAAGATTGAGACTTGGTGATCAACCTTGACCGAGATATTGAGAAAATACGCAGGGGGATATTATTTCTAGAGCACCCGTTATGTCAGTGAAAGAAGTTCGACATTAAACTTCTTTTGACTAAGGGTTAATATTCGATGTACATGTTCATTATTAATTTCTTTTAGACGAAAACGGTATATATTATTCAAATCGCAAAATACCTGGCATGGAAAAAACGTGGCCGAATGTAAATCCACGTTATGGTCCAAAACCCGTACAAAGTGATTGGGAAGCACATAGTGTAGCCGCAACAGCCTTTGTCCTTATGACATATACACAAATCGCCAGGGTAAAAGAAGCTGAACAAATAATGTTATGGTTACAATCGATGCGTAACTATATCGGAGGATGGGGTGGTAAGCGTCATTTGTTTACTCTGTGTAGTACTGATTAAAGATCGTTTTTGTTTTTAATTTTTAGCGTCTTATGATACGGTTATGGCTCAACGAGCTATTGTTAGTTATTCTGTTTTACGTGGCTATGAAATAACAAATTATAATATACGAATTAATTTAACGTCATCATCAACAGGTAATAGAAAAAAAATGAAAGTAGGGCATTACTTTGTTTATTGCATATTCTATTATTATTATTATTATTAATCAGCCGACGAAGAAGATGAGCCTGTTGTTATTACTGACGAAAACTTAATTGAAACTCAAGTAAGAAGTATACAAAATGTTTGGGGTGTGTTATATGTTGATGGTTTTGGTAATGGTTATGCACTAGTACAAGTAAGCCGAGTGACCAATAGAACGATCGATTTTAGTTTTCTTTCGTTTTTTCTGTATTAGATGCATGTTGGCGTTAATGTTGAATTTCCGTTCTATGTTCGTCGCCCTGAGTATGAAGCATTCCGATTTGATGTCGTACCATATTTGAGTGGAAGAAATTTTTCCACAATTGACTATAATGTATGTATTGGATGGAATCCTGAAAATATTTTAAAATTACAAGCAACACGTAGTGGAACCACTGCAATTGAAATACAAATACCAACTGGTTATCGTGTAGAAGAACGTGATTTAAAATCATTGATACGTTCATTAACTATACGAAATCTACGAGAAGGTGAAAATTGGCCAGGACAAGTTAACTTTCTACTTGATTATGTTGATGTTGATCCAATATGTTTTCAATTTCAAGCAAAACGTTGGTTACCGGTGGCTAATATTTCACGTTATTATGAAATTAAAGCATACGAATGGCTGGAACCGGGAAATATGAACCGTTCTATTTATCAATTAAGAAATTTGTTTGGATTAGATATTTGTGAAGTATGCGGAAGTTATCAATGTCCTTATTGTCCGTATTATAGTGATGCGAGACTCCTTCAATATTGGAAATATTCATTTTTAATTATAAGCATATTTATTTTTTTAAAGAAATTTTTCTTTCACTAGTTGATCTCTCACAGTTTTTGTATATAATATAGATTTTTACATCTTTTTATTACCGTTTTGTCTTTTTTTTTTAATAATCCGGTATTTGTTTTGCTATTAACCAGATATTTAATTCTGGCTGTGATGTATTTGCGTCCATCGACTCTCTTTGGCATTTCAATTATTTTGAGCTTGTCTTTTTAGTTCATTCTTTATCTAAATTTTCAATAATCGACGTTATTATTTTTTATTTTTTATCAAAAACATGACAATTCAATTTGAATTTATAGTCGTGTTTTTTTATGGTGCATAAAATGGAAAGAAAGTTATTCCATAGTTGTTGTGCAATTATTTGAGAATTTTGCTATTCTACGTTGTTTTTTTTGAATCTCGTTCTTTTTCTCCATTTCATATGAGATTTAAATGAGCTTTATACCGTTTTTTTATAATCAATCGATACCAAATTATTTCTCGCTTTTCCAATGTCTATATGTATGGCATTTTGTCAAATAGAATCTTTTTTTATTTTTCTCAGTTTAATTTGAATGATAAATTAATCCGATGCTAGTGAATCATTTTTTATTTGCTGCTTTTTATGGGTCATTTTTTAATGATTGTTTTTTTGTAACTATTTTTTTTTACAATATTTTGTTTCTTTATACATTATTTAGTCTATATAACGTACATCTATTTTGAACAACATTTTTGTTTTTATATAATATATTTGTTAATAAAATAGGATAAACAAACTTTTTATGTATATTATTAAATATTCGAGTCGATTCAATTATTATTACCTAAGTCTCTTCTCAACAAGCTGTTTTTCTTATTGACGACACCTTTTAATGCTTCTTGGCAATACTATAATCTTTTTTTGTTACTCTTCAACCATTATAAGAATCTCCCTATTCAGATGTAATATGGAGCGTTTCTTTTATCATGTATATGACAGTTTTTAAACAGTATTCTTAGATGAAAGTCGCCTTCATGTTTCTTATACTTGTACCCGTAACGTTTTCTTTGAAAAAGAGGATTTCGTATTTAGCCATTTCTACATTATTCAGACAGAATTTTCATAGAGATTTGCTGAGATAGTTAAAGAGTGCATAAATAGTGTTTCCTTTAGTATACTCAACCTAGTTGAGACTGAATATTTTTAATTTATTTAGGATTATGGAACAAGAATATCCATTACATTGGTATGTTTGGCACGATGAACCAGAGAAATTGGAAAGTATCCTAAAGGATAATACAGTAAGATTTCATTTCGAATGTGTTTCCTTCTTATTTCTAATCGTTTATCTTTCCTGTTATCATAGGAATCTATTGAACAGCTTGATCCTTGTCATCGAACACCAATACAGTTAGCTGTATGTTTAGGACGATTTGAATGTGCGAAAATTTTAGCTCAGAATGATGCCGATTGTAACATTGTCTCAAAAGATGGATGGAATCGTACGTTAGCGTTTGTATTAATAGATTGTTTCTTCATGTTTTTTACTTTATAGTTTTACAAGAAGCTGTTTCAAATGGAAATCCATCGTTAATTAAATTAATTATGAAATATCGTAATTATCAAAGAAGTAAAAAACGAATTCAGGGTATTCCTGAGTTACTTCGAAAATTAAAGGAAGTAAGTAATCTATGAGAATAAATTATGATAAACGGTATATAGTGACACGTATTTTTTTCTTTTTTATTAAGTCTGAGTTTTATGTCGAAATGAAATGGGAATTCACTAGTTGGGGTAAGATTTCTTGAATGGGCAAGCTTTATACAGATAGAGAAGAAATCATTTTCAATCAATACTTCAAGTTATTCTTAAATACTACATGAATTTTTATTTAATAATAATAACAATTGTTTTTTGCTTTTTAGTTCCACTTGTGTCGAAATTATGTCCTAATGACACTTATAAAATTTATAAAAGTGGTGAGAGTTTATTCACTCTATGAATATACGCATTTACCATGCGAAAATACTTTTCTCGATAGGACCCAATGTTCGTATTGATACAACATTGTTAGGAATTGAAGGTACAAATTGGCAACGTGGCAATCGTACATTGATCTTTTCGTTACTTGGTATGTGTCAAACATAACTTTCATTTAAAATTTTCTTGGAGGAAAAAACTTCATTACTGAACAAAAAAGCTTTAGAAAGAGAAAATTCTTTTGTCTTTTGGACAAAAATCGACGTTTTCATCAGACTGTTCCACTATTTTATAGAGAAAAGGTCCCTCTATTCTTCCCTAATTCTTACGCACTGATATCAAATGAAATGTGTGTGAAAGGGCCTAAGCGATGTGTTTCATTTTTAGATGATGCAGCCAAAATGATTGACATTGACCATGAAAGTCAAACAGTATTTGTCGAGAATTTGACAATGCCTGGTGAACAACCAGTACTAATCGATCCGGATATCGAACAGATTCAGTCAAAACTATCCTCACCAAACATGACAGGTTAGTAGAGATTGTAGCAAACAGCTTTTTATCGTATAGAGAACTCTTGTCTGTGGTAAGAAATAACTATCGAACAAAATGTTTTTCTTTAAATTCACAATTTGTCGAAAGAATCAATAATGCGAGTGTTATAATGCCTTATTCTGCTAAAGTCAATGTACTCTTTTTCTCGTCCGAGTTTCTTTATCTATAGACTGAACATACGCACTATGCTTCTATCTACTTTCCTTAATGTTTGTTTTTTCTTTTTTTTTTTAGTTTATCTGGATGTTGACAAAATTGAATTTGAAAGGTATTCGAGCCTGTGTTTTTTTTCTGCTTTAAATCTTCGTTTTTGTTGCTAGGAGTAAATCAGGAGTATGGGGTATGCGATCGGAAAAAGCTGAAACAATCAATGGTTATACTTGTAAAGTATATTCTGTACAAAATGTTGCACTCGTAACACGTTCGCGTGTTGAACATATGACTGCTGAAGAGAAAAAAGCACACGAAGCTGGAAGTACGTCAAATAAAAACTTTTTGGGTGGTTTAACTTCTTTTCTCGAATCCTCATCTTCATCATCTAAACCAACAACAACCACGACAACAAAATCAAACATACCAGTCCATGTAAGATCAAACGTCTTTAGAATATTCCTGAATATATTCCATTGTGTTATTTTGATTTAGGATCAATCAAAATTATCGAATGCAACAACAGGTGCATCAGCGTCTGCACATAATCAACAACGACCAATAACAGCTGAAGACTATTTCAAATCTCGTATCGATATAAAACATCGTGATATCGGAAGACAACGTGAAGAAACAGTGAAAGTTCAAACATTTAACGCACAGCTCAGTTTATGTGATAATTATCCATTGAGTCTACAAGAACAAATTCTTCCAATTATTGATTTAATGGCTATTAGGTATTCATCCATCGGTTTGATTTTCCTTTAACGATGCTATCTTCAATCTAATTTAATTTAGTAATTCACATTTTAAAAAGTTACGTGACTTCGTCACCTTACAACTGCCACAAGGGTTTCCAGTAAAAGTTCGTAAGTGTTTGAACAAATTTCCTTTTTCTCTATGCTATTTAGTTGTCGATTGTTTAGAAATTCCGTTGTATCATGTTTTAACAGCAAAAGTAACATTTGGAAACATACATGGAATTGACAAACCTGTTCAAGGCGTTTCCACAATAAAAGATGAGAACACCGGTTCATTTTGTGCTATTGATGAAAATATTTTTAGTATACCACCAGGCTATAGACGACAAGGTCATTAAAGAAGAATACTCGTTTTCAGTACTATATTTATTATTTTCTTATAGGAGAAGGAGATTTCCATCCTCTAATGTATATGGACGATGATGCGCTATTACAAATGGCTATTGAACGTAGTTTATTAGAATCATCCGGCAGTGATGCTTCATCGTCCAATGCCGATGCAGTGACATTATATGAGGCCTTGGGGCATCCACCATCGTCTACTCGATTTATGCATGACAATAATGTTGATTACGATCTTCAACGGTAAGTTATCCTGTTTCTGGTGCGTAATATTGGGATTAAGTTCTATGACTTATAACTGACAAAAATATCACAAGTTAGGATTTGATTTGAGTGTGAAGACATCTGGTTTACATCAAAAATAAAACTGGAGCTTTTCTGATTTTCTTTGCATGTGAGATATTGTGGTTTGTTTTAGTGCGTTGGAAGCTAGTTTATTATCGTCCGGATTAAGTGAAGCTGAAGTTCAGGAAGCATTAAGACAACAACAACAACAACTGAATCCGATCGAAACGGAAAATTTATCAGCAATCATGGAAATTTCCAAACATGAAGAAGAAGAACGTTTAAAACGTTTGAAAGAGGAAGAGGAAGAACTTGAGAAAGTTTTACAGCTTTCATTAGAAGACAAATAGATATAGCAGTTGCTAACTAACCAAATGTAATTTAAACAAGAGTTATTTATTTTATTCAGTGTGATCCATAATTGAACGTGCTGCTGTTGCCTTTACTTTAAATAATAATCTCCGCTTTCTCTGTGTGTGTTTTTTCAGTGAGGCAGTTCATTCTACTTATTTTTATTACCTCATTTTAACTGTTTGTGTAGTAGTCTCTCGAGGCACCAGTATTCTGTCATTCCATCTGATGATATAGAGCATTGGTTTAAACAAAAGTCTTTAGTAAATAAAAAACAGATGTTGTCTTATTGTTTTTATAGAAAATATTTTGTGGTATTTTATTTGTGAAAGCATGCTTGTTTTCTTTACGTTGTTTTCTATTGTTCACTGTAAATGTATGTAAATATACATGTTGTTTACTAAAATTTTTTACTTTTAATTGTTTTGTGTTTTGTCTTTCCTGACTTATATTAATTTTTGACGTTGTGTAAAAAACGTTTTGAGTTTAACTTATTGCGAACGAGATAATTTTTTTCAAGCACTTTCTCGTCATCCTAACTGTTCACTGTATTTTTGTGATGTATCAATGATGGAAAACCTGCTCGGTTAAAAAATCATCCTTTTGACTTGAAACTTTCAAAAAATATTTCTCAACGTTTGTAGTTTATTTTCTCCAGAACATTGCATGGATCAAGCTTTAGGTTGAATGTGAGTACTAAACGCTATTGAACCTCTAACAATCGAGCGCACAGCATGTATTCACCGCAGAATTAATATAACACTAATATAGTATTGACCCTTAATCGAAAATTGTTCTAACGGGTGGCGCATAAAGAATGAGCCTCTCAGTATTTTGTGAATATCTCTCTCAATTTTTGATGCTTTGACTTGATTTTTTCTTCAAAAGATAGCCTGTGCACTTCTCTACAAAATTCAATGGAAAGAGCTCTTCAAAAGGATGACTGGAAAACTATATCCGGTCAGCAATGCTACACGCCAAAAAGGTCCACTTTCAAGCTGCTGTTTCTGGTTTTTGTAAGTTTGCGTCGCTCTTTGACCACATACAGAAAAAACTGAATAAGTCACTTTGTAGTCCATGAAAAGCCCTATCAGTTGACCGAATACCTTTTTTGGCATACTGTAAATCTATCCGACCAAAACATTTCGTTTGTACTTCTTTATTCACGTTTTAAGGATCTTCCATTGAGGTCCATCAAAATTTTGATTTAGTTAAGTCAAATATACATTTAATACGTATTCAGATTTATTACCACATTGAAAGAAAGTATATTTTCTTTCATTTCTACCCGAGCGAACTGTTGCAAAGGCTCTTTTCTGTAATAACTGGCGCGACTAAGAAAAATGATCAGTGGTTCCAACTTGTTTTTTCAAGAACATTGGCCATTGCAACCTCACAAACTTATCTGAAGATCTTTTTTGAGCTCTGTTAAAAAGAGTACACCTGAATACATAGGAAACTTGCTTCAGAATGGCCTGAAATCTGTTTAGTCAGAAAAAGAGAAATTAGTTTTGTAAAAAAGAGTGTTTTTGAAAGTGGACCTTTTTGGCGTATAGCATTGCTGACCGGATATAGTTTTCCAGTCATCCTTTTGAAGAGCTCTTTCCATTGGATTTTGTAGAGAAGTGCACAGGCTATCTTTTGAAGAAAAAATCAAGTCAGAGCATCGAAAACTGAGAGATATTCACAAAATACTGAGAGGCTCATTCTTTATGCGCCATCCATTACTATGCATGTCCAACTCGTACAAGATTAGTCCAAATTGTCAGTCGGAGGCAGAATTTGCATATCAAACACACAATGGCCGTTGATACCGCTCATTATCAGGAAAAACTATCGGTCGGACGGATGGCTTTTGTTCATTATTCGTTCGCGTTTTACATCGATTACCCAACGTTGGTCTTTGATACAGCGTGTAATAAATTATTCCAAGAGATTCGGGCACATGAAGACGTTCAGTAAACATTGATACCAAAAGCTATTCATCAGGAGACGCCAGAAGCATCAAATATGACTCAGCAATGGACATTCACGGATACCTTGCAATTTCTAAACGACAACGATCTCGATATAATAGTATCCCTCCTGAATAAAGTTGATGGATGGCGTCTATTTGAATTGCGTAAAATGTGCGAATCAAGCTCCCAGCAAATGTGCCATTCGTTCAATTCGGAACTACTCACGTTACACAATGTATTATTACCTATAAATGTTTACCTTCAATTTTTCAGTCAATTGAAAAAGCAAATGTAAAGTGACTATTCACTCTGGTGAAATGTACCCTTAACTCTCATTACCTTCATTTCTATTAGTTTAGAAACTATAGCTATAATTGAAGGAGTACCTTCGAATCTTATTTCCAAGCGTTGATGCTAAAGCAGATAGAGTTATTAGCAAACTCGATATACCGCCGTCTAGTCTTTGCATAGTCGTAAATGTAAATGTCAAGAATCATATGAACGAAACGACTTATACTAACATAGTGATATTTTTGCAGAGTAAAAAGTACCATCGTGTTTTTGGTCTTAACGTTTCTGTAGCGAGTGTATTTCGGAAGCTAAACAGAGCATAATGTGAATTTTTTCTCACGTAGTACATACATTTCTCTGAGTATGTTGGAAACAGGGGAGGGAAAGCGGACCGGGTTTCCGCGTGGATCTTAATAGACCCGAAAAGATTTCTATGGATCCCTAAGTATCCGAAAATTGTCCTAAGAGTACAAAAGTCTTCAATAAATTTTTTATATATTGTAAACAGATAAGTAGGATAAAACGAATATTTTCCGAGTTTATAACTTCACTTTCTGTAATTTTCTGGTGTAGTATACATATTTCCATCAGGTAACGTTGACTGTTATTTTTCTGCAGCTTATCACGATTTTCCATAACGAGTATAGATCAACAGAAAAACATTTAATCGTATGTGACTGTGTAGAAAAACGTCAAGGTGGTAAAACTTGTCTTTTATCAACTTGGTAAAAAAAGACCAACCAAGTCTATAACTGGGTTTTAAAGACTTGGTAAAAGTTCATCTTAAAGAATTATTTTAGCTTAACATTGTTTTTGCTGTACTTGTAGAAGTCTGTGAGATGAACGGTTTTTATCACTCATCAAATACCAGCATGCAATTTTTTTGTACATATTTCTTACACCGTTGCAAACTTTTATTGAAAAATAGGCTTGTTTGTTAGCCTTATTGATTTCATCATACATTCGCATTCCATTGAATGCTTTTCTGGCAGTTGTTAGTGTTGATTCTGATTATCATCGTTGTCATTTTCTTCTTCATCATCATCATCATCATCATTCAATTCTTCATTTCCATTTTCATTAGATGTTGTCAATTCGTCATCAGTCAGTTCGATATCATTCTTCTCCTCTTCGTTGATTCCATCCATTTCGCTAATTTGTGAGCGATCTGTTATTCTTCCAGTGTATGTTATTTTATTCGATACCTTTTCGCTTAATTCATGTAATTCAAATGAACCGTTCTCAATCAAAATATCCGTCCTATCTAATTCTTCAATGAAACTTTTTGTACGTTCGTCAGATTCGTTCGTTAATAAATTCTTCTATATTCGAAATACTTATTTGTTCATTACTATTAACGAAAGATAATACTTTTTTCTCATGATGATGTTTATGATGCACAGTGTATATAATATGATAGTCATTTCTCGTTCAATTTTTATGTTTTAATTTCATTTCACAGATAGTTTTTCACTTCGTTTGGTAAACTTCTGCATACTATAATTTATTGATGATGAAAACGTTTCTGGTAACGCTCTATAATTCCGAAACGTAGCTTAGTAGGACTACGAACTAAATAATATTTTTAAAAACGATGTGAAATTTTCTTTATCTTTTGATAAAATATCGGATTTAATCAGATTATGATCAGGTTTCGATAAATTATAAATTAAATCTTCTAAATGTTTAATATTCACTTGTTGAGTTTCAATTAATAAAGTAGCTTTAGTTGATAATAATCTGTTTTTCAATTTTGTGCATAAATGTATCGGATCTTGCATGAAGAGTAACAGTTGTTTGCGTTTTAGAAAACCTCAGGATGACCATTTACCTGGAATATCAATTCAAATAAATTCTTATCATTTATTGTCAGTTATTGGAATATTAGGTAAATTAGCAATAAACCCACTAACAAGTCTTATAGATTTCAAATACTTTGCGTCACAATCCGTGCTTAATCCAATAATACGAATTGATTTTTTTGAACATGAATTGTGGCAATAGATGTTACTTTATTGTTTGCACCATAAGTAGCTAAAAAGAGAATAGATATCTGGAGAAATATAAAAAAAGAGTATCAAGGAAAAATGCCCAGTGTGAACGGCGCTGATTGTAATAAATTGGATGTTATTGATTGAATCAGGTGTAAATTCAATAATGATTATTTTTCTGCTGTTTTGAAATCAATTTTCTAAAATATGAAGATTATCTGTTTGGAAATAAATTGGTTATGATATTCCATTGTTGAGTGGTGTGCAAAACGCAATAAATGAATTTGAGATACAATCATAACTAATTTTTTCCACCACACTCGTACAATCTTCAGCACAATTTTAGAAACTCTTTACTTTGAATAGGTTTTTACTCTAACTTAAGTATAAAACTAGTGAAAACACAAGCACATAAAAAAACTTGTTTTCTTTTCACCCTCTTTCTGCTTTCTCTTATTGTCTTGATTATGAAGAAGAAAAAATAAAGAATACAGGAGAAATTTTCTTCCCTAAAAAGTGATCGTTTTTTCTTGAGTATTTTGGATACATTTATCAATGGTACGATGTCCTTCTATTTTTTGGTTTTTGTTGAGAAGAACTACCATTTTTCCTTTTTGATCTTGTTCGTATCAGTGATGGTGATAACGATGTAGATGAAGATTGTTGCTGTTGAAATTTCCGTCGATCGTTTCTCTCTTTTTCTTTTTTACACATCATCAAACACTTTGTTCCTCAAATTTGTTTATAATACGGTAACAA